GCTGAGCTGCTGATGTTATCTCCATCAAAAACATTAGAACCTTTTGTATATGAAGACAATGATATAAGGTGGACAGTGAGTGTTTCCTTTCTCGAAATGTTCTCTTTTGGTAAACAATTATCTTTTGGCGAGCTTTCACAACTATGTGCATAATACGCCTAAACTCACTCTCATATTGTACATAAAAAGCAACAACAACATCCAACTATATCAACAACCTATTTTTTTGGTTAGTTAAGAACCAATATAGGAAATGTGCTTTACTTTCATAAGAGATAGACATTTTCAAATTGAAAGTAGCAACATCTCCTTGATCCATGACAGACCGTCCACTCGAATCCTGAACAAAATCCAAAATATATATCAAACTTGGTCAGAAAACATGTTAATCTCATACCCAATCCTTTATCTCAATGTCTTAGAAGAGCCTCCGACGAACCATGATGTATTTTAAAGGAATATGGCTAGTTGGATAATATATGTCCAAGTATCTAGTCATTCAAAAAGCTCATGCATACTCAACTCAAATGTTTCTTGGACCTGGAACATACAAATGATACAAAATCTGGCTCCCAAACATTAAATGTAAGACATTAGCTAAATTAATTAAATTAAACAAACTTTATGCAGATATGTATCAGAACTAAGTATCTATTTGTTGAAAAAACTCCCTTAATCACCCATGGTTGAAAGTATTTTCAAAGCATAGGAGCTGAAGGTCTTCAAAAAGCAACATGAAATCCATGGCAGCATGGCTTCTGAAAAACCATTAAATCCCCACTTCACTCATATCTAATACTTTTTATTTCTCTGTTTCCCCTGTTTTCAAATTCCAATCAAGTAAATTTCATAAAACAAACAACAAATCTAGCTCTTCTCAAAACTTACTATTGATAACGAAAGAAAATACAACTATCTAAAACACTAACAGTTGATAACCAGAGAAAAAACAACAATCTAATACACTATAAGACATAAGCTTAAGCCGTTGATGTTGGGGGGTTACCTGGATGAGAAAAGGAACAAAGATTAAAGAGAGAAAAAAAAACCTTTGTATCTTAATCAGCAAAAACAATATATAGGGGTACTTTGTTGAGAAAAGAAAGAAAATGTTGGTGTTGTGCATATTTTCTCTAAGCATATGTTAAAACAAACAAAAAACCCTACATAGATGAAAATATGTCAGGTGTTTTGTTTTTTTAAGTACAGAAGCAGAAACCATGGAGTTCCAAGATCAAACCCTAATCACAAAACATACGCATATACCATGAAATAGAGAAAAAAAAACCTACAGAGGCAAAGTGAAGCCCTTAGAGATATGCTCTTAACATGTTTTCAAGCTTGTTTCTCAAGCTCCTTTCTTTGTTTCTCACCCAACATCGGAAGCATTAAATACGTTTTGGGCATGATAAGAATTAAAGAGGATTAGGGCTTGATTCATGGTGAGAACATTACTTTCTTACCCGAGCAGGTTTGACCCATATTTTATTGGCTCGCCGAACAAGTTTGACATGTCTTTCAGGGCTTGATTCAAGGATAGATAGAAGATTAGCGACACCGTAGCAGTTTTCATGGTGGCATAGGGGTGTGCGGCTGTGAGTGGTGTGGGGTGTGACGGTGATGACGTTGGTGGAGAAGGGGTCCAATACTCCATAGATCTATAAAAGCCTGAAAATTCATCATTCCGTCATTAAAATTAAAAAAATCTTGTGTAGTACCTTTCAAAAACAGAGAAAGGTACATGGATCAAGATGATCATCTGGATTGCTTCTCCTTTGCTTCTTATAGAAAAAATTACCTGACATTACATAACAAAATTAGGTTATTTTAGTAGAAATGCATGCTTATTTCCTTCTGGAACAAAATAATGGATTCAATTCGCACATGTATTTTGTTGCTTTGAATTTCTGGGCGACAAACACTACAGTGGAGGAGAAAGAGACGATAGTCGGTCCCCATAACCAAAAAGAAAAATAAAATATTATCGATGAATACCTGGAGATTGGGAGAAGCATCAAATATATAAGAAAACCTCGACGAATTTCCCCTAAATCTGATACCCCAAAAACACATGAGGAGAAAGAAGCCTCGATTGTGAGGAATACCGGGTGAGAGCTGCGTTTAGGGTTTTGAGTTTTTAGACATAGTAGAGAGAACGTGTGTTTACATAGAAAAATTGATGATTTCAAATGAGGGAGGGGAGAGATATTCATCTGTAATGAGGGTTTTAATTGAGAGATAGAGAGAAAGCGAATCGTTGGATTCGATTACGGAGAAACAAAGGATGCATATATGTTGGATTCAAGTTTTCGTCTTCAACCCACCATAGATCTAACCTGCAACCAATCGAAACAGTAAACGAAATGATTAGAAGAAACTAAAATCAAAACTATATACAGAAAAACACTCATCGATGGTAAATAGAGGTAGATGGCCGCGTTTAGGATTTTTATTAGAGGTAGCAGAGAGAGATGAAGGAAGGCTGAGAGAGAAGTTCAAAGAAAGATTCGGAAGTAGCCATATTTGCCGAAATCTCAGTATTCAATGTAGACTCAATCAAATTAAGGGATGGATCAATTCTTCTATGCATAAAATATTTGTAACTTCAGTTATAAAGTTTGGACTATTTTAAATATAATACTATTTTATTGATGGTTACTTGTACTATTAGCTTAAAGGTTTGGACGTCTTAAAAAATAATATTATTATATTCGATCTATTTATAGAAATAGTAAGATTTCTTTTATAAGATAGTATATATATATATATATATATATATATATATATATATAGTTTGTTTATTGCAAAAAAAAATATTAAATATTACTTTCTATATAAATTGAGAAAGAAAAACAAAAAAAAATAAAGAAAAAATAAGTTTTATAATAAAATGAGAAAAAAAAGGAAAAATAAGTTTTTATAATAAATTGAGAAAAAAAAAGGCATACCAGATTAAACCCTCCATTCAATCAACCCACTCCACAATGCTTTGTATATTCATTCAACTGCTACATAAGCCTTTTTTTTCCCATTAAACTCTCCATTGAATGACCATTGGAGATACCTTAGTCTGTTGCATGTTAGTGAAGCTTCGACATCAAATAGATTTCCAAGCACTTGGAAAAAACTATGATGATTAGGACTAATGAAAAAAACAAGACAAAAATTAATTGCGCTTCTCTCATTGACAAGATGTTAAAATATATCGAATTTGGTGAGGTTTGGGGTTATGAAATGGATGGGTGTAAAACCAACTTAGAGAAGTTTCTTGCTAGAATTGGTAAGAACAAGGTAATCCAATGAATTTTCTTTCGGTAAATGTTTGTGGGATCGACTCATAGAAAAAGAAGTTTGATTAGAAGTATTTTATATGAAGAATGGTGTATATATGTAAAACAGATATGTAAAATACCTATAGGAAGTAGATGGAGGCATATGGGGGACGTGAGAATAATGTAACAGGGAGTTAGATAATAGTTTTTTTGTATTGAAAGAAAAACTCGATACTTGGTTTCTTATAAGTGAAGTGAGAGGCTCTTTTTATAGATGAAGGAAAGACTTCAAAACATTCAATATCAAACACCCCTTTTGGAAATAAAATAATACAACTTAACACATTAGTAAAACCAATGAAAAAACAACATTACATAAAGGATAACAGACTTAAGAATTATACAATATTAAACATAAATAAAGAGTTAAGAGTTGAGAACTATACGATATTACTTTTATGGGATATATACACTAAAGTCTCAATATTTTCATCGATTTGACAAGAAAGTCCTAAATTTTATTTTTTTGACAGTAAAGTCCAAATTACCGGCAATTTTTGACACTTTTACCCTTTTTTCCCGGTTAGCCGGTAATTAGGATTTTTTTGTCAAAAAAATAAAGTTTAGGACTTTCTTGTCAAATCGTCAATTAGGACTTTACTGTAAAAAAAATAAAGTTTAGGTCTTTCTTGTCAAATCGTTGAAAATATTGGGACTTTAGTGTATATATCATTTTTTTTTGTTAGAAATTTAATGGTATGATACTCTTTAAGCATAAGAGTTATTGAAACATTCTCTAGTCAGTTAGATCCTATTAAAATCCTTAACGTTTGTTTCTTGTTAAATCGTTTTTTTAATCTCAACAAATCGACATTGAAAAAAATGGAGATAATCAAGAAAGATTATCTCCATTTTTTTCAATGTCGGTTTGTTGAGATTAAAAAAACAATTTAACAAGAAACAAACGTTAAAGATTTCAATAGGATCTAGCTGACTAGATAATGTTTCAATAACTCTTATGCTTAAAGAGTATCATACCATTAAATTTCTAACAAAAAAATGATATATACACTAAAGTCCCAATATTTTCAACGATTTGACAAAAAAGTCCTAAACTTTATTTTTTTGACAGTAAAGTCCTAATTGACGATTTGACAAGAAAGTCTTAAACTTTATTTTTTTGACAAAAAAGTCCTAATTACCGGCTAACCGAGAAAAAATGATAAAAGTGTCAAAAATTGCCGGTAATTTGGACTTTACTGTCAAAAAAATAAAGTATATGACTTTCTTATCAAATCAATGAAAATATTAGGACTTTAGTGTATATATCCCTTACTTTTATTGACATGTATTCCAGTTAAATTTTGAGTTGTGTGGAATACATCTTTTGTAGATGATCTGGATTCTGGGGATTAGCAAGAGTGAAACACTAGTTCGGGTGTACGGTTTTGGTGTATCTTGTAATGTTGAAACTATTATTGAATTATAAATTGCAAAAATATTATTGCAAATGATGTCGTATTGTTGCTAATTCCCAATGATTAAAGTTGAGGTGTTCCATAGGGATGATTAATTTGTATTCTAGAATGATGAAACTATAAAATTATAACATAAGTTTTAGATTTAATTGTTCAATGTTATAATAAATAATAATTAAATTAAGTTATCTAATATGCAATTTATCTGTTTTTTACATGCAAAAATTAAATTTTCTGCGAAAGAATTGCACAGGCTAAAAATCCAACATAATTGTGGTATATGGTTACCCTTTATCCTTTTTTCCCCTTCTTCCATGCAAACCACCATCCTTCAATCTCCCTGCTAACAAACCATCTCCATTGTTGTCTCTCCAGAATCCCCAATTCTTTCTTTGCAGAATCAACCTCCCAAATCCCTCTTTTTTTCATCTAATTCTCGAAGGAAAAAAAATAAAAGAAGAAATCGTGCGTGCAGTTTGTTCACCGGTTTGTCTTCATCTTCATCGTATTAACCTCGCTGCTCGAATTCAAAATGGTTCGAGCAGCTGAGGATGAACAAAACATGAATCCCGGAGTAGGTGATGAAGGCGCCACAAACAATGACAGCAAATGCTCAGGTAATCGCCACTTTTTTCCCGAGTTTTATTCGGATTTCATGTTTTAATGATTTCGTTGTGCCCTAAACCTGCAATTTCGTTGGATTGATTGATTAAATTGGGTGAGAATTTAGTTGCAGTTTCAGATTTGGATACGGTGAAGGAAAAGTTCGCGAAATTGCTTTTAGGCGAGGATATGTCAGGTGGAGGAAAGGGCGTTTCATCAGCTCAGGCTTTGTCAAATGCCATTACGAATCTAGCAGGTTCTACAGATATTATACCTATACATTCTGATTTTCAGAATTATAATTCGATTTTCTGAAAACTGTATTTGATTCATTGATTGATTGATTCTCGATCCATGTATTCAGCTGCTGTTTTTGGGGAACAATCACGATTAGAGCCAATGCCACCGGAAAGAAAAGCAAGGTGGCGGAAGGAAATGGATTGGCTCTTATCTGTCACCGATCACATTGTTGAATTTGTGCCCTCAAAACAAAACACTAATGGCGTAAACATGGAGGTACACGTTCTCTTTCTCTGTATCGATATATGCATTTTTCTTGAATATTAAATGGAGGAGAAAGGGTTTTGAATATGAATAAAATGCTTAAATTTTACTGTGACCAGATTATGGTTACAAGGCAACGGAGCGACCTCCATATGAACATTCCTGCATTAAGGAAGCTTGACGCGATGCTCATTGTAAGAAGAAGACAAACCGTATCTTATACTTAGGCCTTTTTTATTCATTAAATGTTATTTCGATATAAAATAATGTTTAAAATAAGTGTTTAAGAAAATGATGAAACACTTTAATGTAAACAAAGTTAAACACTTTAGAGAAAGATGATATTATTGGGTTGTTTAATGTCTGATCTCTGTTGAGATTTTCTTTGTTAGATTTTGGATATATGTGACGTTTAAATTATTAACTATATTATCAATAACTATCAACATCGATTTTAGTTATTAATCATGTTCTTAGTAAATATAATTATATTTGTATCATTATTTGTATAAAAAAATTGAAGTTTTGAATATTTTTAATCTTTTATCATTCATAATTTAAATTTATTGCGGTTCTTAAATTCATACAATATATTCAGTCCAAAAATAAACGTTTTTCTTTTCATATAACACTTATCTCAAACAAACATCATGTTCGACATTTGCGCCTAACATGTATTGTGTGGGTGTGTAGGAGTGCTTGGATAATTTTCAAGGCGAACATGAGTTCACGTATGCATCAAAAGATGACAACGAAGCAAAAAGCCAAAGAAAGAGGGAAGAAGATAAATGGTGGTTACCAACCCCAAAGGTCCCTGCAGACGGTTTATCAGAGTCTACAAAGAAATGGTTACAATTTCAAAAAGACGCAGTTCACCAAGTACTCAAAGCAGCCTTAGCCATTAACGCACAAATTCTAATGGAAATGGAAGTCCCTGAAAGCTACACCGAAACCCTCCCAAAGGTACTTCACTTCAATACATCAAACTTTTCTACCAAAATTTGAATCTTTATAGAAAAAAAAAATTTAATCTTGATGCTAAAAGATCGAATCTTAATAGAATAAAGACAAAATTTCACAATTGGTCCCTGTGGTTTACAGAATATCGCACTTTGAGAACTTCCTAGCAAAAAGTCACGCGACTGGTCCCTGTGGTTTGTAAAATTACATGAATGGTCCCCCTGCCGTTAAATCTAACTTTTCTGCCGTTAGATTTTAAGGAAAAAGACTATTTTGCCCTTGTACCAATATTGCAATACACTACAAACCTCAAGGACCATTCGTGTAATTTTCTAAATATGAAATTATATATATATATATATATATATATATATATATATATATATATATATATATATATATATATATATATATATAAATTTCGCATTTTGTAAATATATAAATTATAAATATAAATTTTATATATATGTATATATATAATTTCAACAATTTGATAACTTTTTTTTTATCTTTTTGACATTTTGATTTCTATTTTTATTTTATAGTTTTAGTAATTTATGGCTTTTTGTTATATTTTTATTTATTTTGAATCAAGTAAATAAACTTAAATTCGATAAACCATGTCGAAATTATTTTTTCCTTTAATTTTTCTTATTTGTGAATTGAAGCGTTAATATTATTTTATTTTATTTTAATTTTATGCTGTTATTGTTAATGTTTTTTTTATCACTCAATAGTTAATATCGTTAGCAACTTTATGTTTGCATTTATCATTATCCTTGTTTGACCTTTTGTTTTCTATTTTTGTTATAATTTTAATTATTTATTATTCTTCTATTGTTTTTATTTATTTTGATTCAAGTAATGAAAAATAGAAACACAAAAAACAAAAACTCAAACATCAAATTCTAATATACTCTAATATATTAATACATTTTAAATTTTCATCTTTTTTTAGTTTTTTCGTATTTTTTTTAATTTTTTTGTATTATTTTTTTAAATTTTTTCATATTATTTTTTAATTATTTCCTATTTTAATTTTTTTTGTTTCGTTTTATTTTTCATCAACTTGATAACTTTTTTTGACCTTTTCCAAAAAATGTAAAATGTATGAATATAGTAGAGTATATTACAATTTTGGTGTTTGAGTTTTTTTAGTTTTTTTTTTTTATAATAATTTTGGTTATTTATGGTTTTTGTAATTTTTTTTATTTTCATTCGCGTAAATAAAATAGTTATATTTACAAATATAAATAAAGAAAATAAACATAACTTTTTTATTTACACAAATCAAAATAAAAAAAAGTTACAAAAACCATAAATAACAAAAATTAATAAGAAAAATGCAAAAAAAAAACAAAAAATATGAAATGTGTAAAATGTATCAATATATTAGAGTATTTTACAACTTTGGTGTTTGAGTTTTTTGTTTTTTTTTTGTTTTTCTATTTTTCATTACTTGAATCAAAATAAATAAAAACAATAGAAGAATAATAAATAACTAAATATATAAAAAAAAACAATAAAAGGCGAAATAATGATAATGATAAATGCAAACATAAAGTTGCTAACGATATTAACTATGGAGCATCAAAGTAAAAAAAAAAAACCGTAACAACATAAAATTAAAAAAATAAAAAAACATTAGCGTTTCATTTCATAATTAGGAAAAAAAAAGTTTCGATATGGCTTATCGAATTTAAGTTTATTTACTTGAATCAAAATAAATAAAAACATTAAAAAAACCATATATAACTAAAATTATAAAAAAATAAAATAAAATGTTAAAAAGATTAAAAAAAATATCAAGTTGTTGAATATATATATATATATATATATATATATATATATATATATATATATATATATATATATAAAATTTATATATATACGGAATTTATATTTATAATTTATATATATACAAAATTTCATATTTAGAAAATTACACGAATGGTCCTTGAGGTTTGTAGTGTATTGCAATATTGGTACAAGGGCAAAATAGTCTTTTTCCTTAAAATCTAACGGCAGAAAAGTTAGATTTAACAGCAGGAGGACCTTTCATGTAATTTTACAAACCATAGGGACTAGTCGCGTGACTTTTTGCTAGGAAGTCCTCAAAGTGCGATATTCTGTAAACCACAGGGACCAATTGTGAAATTTTGTCTAGAATAAATTTGAATCTTGACGAAGTTTTATTAAATCTTTATAGATTTTTTTTGAATCTTGATGATTATTGATTGTTTCAGAATGGAAGGGCGAGCTTGGGAGACTATATCTATAAGAGTATAACGGTTGAGCACTTTGATCCGGATCACTTTCTTTCATCAATGGATTTAACGATTGATCATAAAATCGTTGACCTCAAGAATAGATTCGAGGCGTCTGTAGTGATATGGAAGAGGAAGATGTCTGCTAAAGATGGAAGATCTAGTTGGGGTTCGGGTGTTAGTTTGGAAAAAAGAGAACAATTTGGAGATCGAGCAGAGACTATTTTATTAATTCTTAAACAACGTTACCCTGGGATTCCTCAATCCATACTAGAAATCAGCAAAATTGAACACAACAGAGTATAACTAACTAACAACTTTTCACTTTTCAAACCCCATATCATGGAATTAGACATTAGTTGTAAAAATTCATTAAGTTTTTTGTTTGTTTGATTTTATAGGATGTTGGGCTTGCTATTCTTGAGAGTTATTCAAGAATCTTAGAAAGTTTGGCACATAAAGTGTTGTCACGTATAGAAGACGTACAGCATGCAGATGCTCTTACACAAAATCCATCTTTGGGAGATATGAAGACCAATTCTCTTAAAGATTCAGTCAAGATATTAACATCAGGTAAATTCCCAGATGCAGTAGAAGAGATAGAAAGCTGAATCATTCAATGACATTGCCACATTCAACACAAAAGTTCACAATTTCAGACCTACATAGAGTTTCGATTTACTGTTCTTTCTTCCTATGTAAAATGTAAAATGTAATAGAAGAGAACAGATTGTATATTGTGTTTGGTGTGAATTGGATTGGGGTTGAAACTGATTGAATTGGGGTTGAAACTGATGAATCAAATGTACAAAAATATTTGTAATGAACACGAATTCATGCTTGATTCTACCACATCATATACTTGAAAAGTGAAAGGAGTTTTGGAGTAGGAAGCAAACATGTACTTACAAGTTGTGGCAAAGATACATAAAAGACATAACTATATAAATTGTTGATCAGATTAGATTTTGCCACGTGGACCTAGCTTAGGTGGTAGTTGTGGGCCCTTGACGATGGGTAACACGTCACCTGTGGCGGTGGAGCTGAAGTAAGCAAGGGTGGAACCACCTCCAAGAATCAAGAACTTGAGTAGCAATCCTCTCTTGGTAAAAGGCGCAGCAAATGTCTCGAAGAACTTGCTCTGCAATAAAATCATCACCACTTAAACTTTCTTTTTGTATAATCCATCGACTTTGGTCAACAATTAAACTCTAACTTTGATCATTTGGTGTTAATTAACTCATTGAGGCATTAAGTCAAATACCTGGAGGGGGTTGTAAGGTGAAGGAGCATCGGAACCGTAGACATCCCACTGACCGGTGGTGTTGCCCAAATCTTCCAAATCGAAGTACACACTTTTGTCTCCGTATTTAGCAACCACAGCTACAGATCTACGCATTGATGATTAACAACATCAATGAGCCATTGCGAATGTAGATGTAAAGACGAAATTATGAGTTGAAATTAGTACCTTTGAGATTTGGGTTTGAGACTGAGGCGAGAAGGCTTGAGGTTAAGCTTGGTTCCGGAGAGGGAACTGCCGGCAAGGCCGTTAACGGTGGTGGGTGCGAAGGTTGCAAGAGACGCCATTGTTGCAAAACAGCAGAAGCTTACAACCTGTGATTTGAGTGAATGTGATTATTTCTATAGTCGATCGGAGAGTATATGGAACGATGGCCAAGAATCTGAGGAGGGTATGGTGGGGTCGTTTGGATGTAGTTGCATGGATCGGATGATGCCATGTGGGAAATTGGGTTTGTAGGGAGAGATATGGTATCCACCCATTTAAGAGCTGTAGATTACGAGATTGGTTGGAGATGGATAAGCCTATCTCCTCCCGATTCTTGAAAATAAGATGTTAAATTAGGGTTTTGCACCGGTTAAAAATAGGAATGGATCCCAAACGGAACACGTTTAACGGAATATGTTACCGGTAAGCTAGTTTATACGGATTAGAGTTGGAATTCACAAAAACTGACATAAATGTTAATTTAATAAGCGGGTTTGAATGAATTGTGGTAATATGATGACATTATTAGAGCAGTGGGTGCGGGTCATGTTATATGGCGTTAGTTATGGTTGATGCGGCAAGCTATAATGGCGTCATAACACCATGAACATCACCCCCTCTTGGTGTTATGTTGCATCTTGTGGCCGTTAACGATCAACATATGGTTATTCAATTTTTCTGGGAGGTAACTTGGTCTCATGGAGCGCTAAAAAGCAACCTATTGTTTCAAGATTCAATTGTGAATCCGAATACAGAGCTATGGCAAAAACAACCTCTGGAATTATTTGGATCACCCACCTTTTGCGTGATCTAAATGCATTAACGACTGGTCCGCCTACTTTTTTATGTGATAATCTCAGTGTTGTTTTTATGAGGCAAAACCCGATTTCTCATAAACGTGCAAAACATATTGATATTGACTATCACTTCATTCGTGAGTTGGTTTTAGTTGGGAAACTTCATTCCAAATTTGTTCCTACCAAGCTCCAAGTGGCAGATATACTCACCAAACCGCTTCCTCAACCAACATTTGAGTTATTTTGAGATCGTTTAGATAGGTATAAGACCGCCACTCATTCGCTTGAAGGGGGGGGGGGAGTATTAGCGATTATAGATAGTTTGATATACATTTTATATTAGTTTAGCATATATTATGTATTGTTGTATTTCCTTATTTACCCTCCATGTACTTTATATATATGATTGTGTTTAATGTACAACGAGATTATTCATCCATATTCTTTCTTTATTGTTTCCTAAGAGGTGGTATTGGGGAAACACGTCTTCATGGGAGATTGAGGGTTAGCCACTTTGTAAACGAAGAACAAAACGAATAAGGGGTGATACCAAGTAAAGAAGCGATTTACTGAATTGTATATATCAGTAAATGTAATATACAGAAGATCACTTGTTGCGAGCATAAGCAGTGATACTACATTAATGATGATAAAGTCATTGATATGACAACTAGGAGTTTATTCTTTAGAAAGAGGGCTACAAAAATCACATAAGCAGAGCCATAATGAGCTTTGATTGATTGTAAGTAACAGAAAGTGAAAGTTCGAACCCAGGTGGGGGAGAACCAACCATTAAGACAAAAGTGTGAAAGGCAACTCAACTTCGGATTCGACGTCAAGATCCAGAAGAGTTGCAACACAAGAAGCTAAGAGAGAATTATTAGCTTTAGGTTTTGATATGTAAATGATAAAATGGATGTTTTGGTTGGAAGGTGAGAAAATGACATTTATATCATGAAGGAACTTGAGACCTTTACTTATGCCTATGTGTGACAACCCAAAATTTATTTTGTCACTGTAACCCACTTCCGTTAATAAAATTTATTATTATTATTAAAGTTTTTCCGTTAACTTTTAAGTTAAATAAATCATTTAGAGTTATTGTCGTAATTTCATACGTGTCGGAAAACGATAAATCACGCGAAAAACCCCGTTTGTGGTTGGTGTTGGGTGGACCCCCACCGTAAACTCAACCCTATATAAGGGTTGAGTGGTCTTCATTTGAACCCTTTTTCACAATCTATGAACTTTCTCTCTCTACTCTCTCTCTACAAATCGGGTTTTGATCGAAAAACGCCCCTTTCGAGCTTCACAACTGTAAGTTAACCCTCCTAACTTGTTGTTTAGCTTAGTATACTTTCAAATTCATGGTTTAATCACCCAAAAACCCCAAGAACATGGGTTTACGGTTTGGGAACATCCCAAAACCGTAAACACCCTAAAAGGGGGTTTTGATGCCCCAAAACCCTTCCAATGCTTGGCTAATGACCTAGAAACTTGCATGAATGATCTTAGAACCCCAAAACTTGAAATGAGAGGAGTAAACATGAGTTTACGGTTTGGGAAGGTCTCCCAAAACCGTAAACACCTTCTAAAGGTGTTTAAGTGCCCTTAACACCTTCATATGCTTGTATAAGTGACTAGAACCTTGCATGCATGAGTTAGAACCACCAAAGCACAAGAGAAATGGACAAACATGAGTTTACGGCCGTAAACCCATGTGTTTACGACCGTAAACACCCAAAGGAGTGGTCCAAGGACCGTAAACTCCATAAAGTGTCCATTTTGAGCCCCAATCACTTCCTTAGCCCTTGATTCGAGTCTAGCATAATTCCTTGAGTGAGATGAGACCTTGGAACACCCAAATGCACCATTCCCATGAGTTTGCGGCCGTAAACTCATGGGGGATATGGTCCCTCAACCGTAAACACCCCTAAGGCCACCACTTGAAGAGTAAACTCCATAATGAGGCCATACACTCCTTAGATGCAACCCGTATCATTCCTAACACTTGAAATAAAGTGTTTTCGCGCATTAGAGTGTATTTACTTACTTAATTATTGATTTAATAACTAATTAGATACAATTATGTATCACTTCATGTTACATAGGATCCTCACGTGTGTTCAAGTCCTCAATTGACACCTAGCATCCTACCCGGCACGTCCATTCATTCCACTCACAGCAGGTGAGTTCATACCCCTACACTTTTCCGAGTTTTTCATGTTTTCAGGGGGGGAATACAAGCAAAACATAAAAGATTTCGTAATTTAAAACTGATGTAATTATAACGACTTTCTATCAAACTTATAGATACCTTTACCCCTTTTGTAATATGCGGAGCATAAGGGACGCTTTCTAAATATAATTACATAGTTTTCAAAACAGCGTGGGAACTTATCAAACCATTCAAATTATTATGGGAATAATTTGGGATTTTTCATTACTTGTTTTACGGATTCGAATTTCATGCAAAGTCAATATATAAACTATGTCTGATTTAGTTTATCCATTATTAATCTAGAGTATCATGCTAAATAATTACCTTGTGTTTAATTATTTATACTCTACTTTGTTTCAAACGATTTCGAAACTCGATAACGACCAATTATCCCGTGAATTAGTTATTACTAGCTTGTGAGACTTATCTTCGTTATACCCTTCGGGGTACTAGTAAATCCTCTCCGGAAGTATAACCAGAGTCTCCTGGAGGGAGAGCGTGAAATTTGTGGATAGATCTATTCGGGACTGACAATCCCACACCTAAACTGCTAGCTACAGTTAAGCGGGCACGCTTGGGGTGACAAATTTTGTAAATCGAACGACGCCTGAAGAACGTCAAGGAGGTCGCGGGTCAAATCAGTATGGTTATACGACTCACAATACGTATAAACTAACCTTGTTCACGGATTTCTTTCTTTCTTCTATAGTTTTATTTATGTAATAAAACTACCTACCTACTTACTGGAGGGTATTCCAGGGACACAACTTATGGTTTTATCTTAAGTAGTAAAACTACTATACTTACTGGTGGTAACCAGGGTTTTCTTATCATATGGGAATTGACAAACATGTTAGAAAATATGGGATTTTCTTGGAAAACATGCATATGTATTTCATAACTCAGTAATAATGGTTTTCGATATTTACTGCATTCTTTATCAATGGAAATGAAGTATTTTCACAAGATTTAGTAACCAGTTTTTCCTTACAAAACATGTTTATGAACTCACCAGCTTTATGCTGATATATTTTCAAACCGCTTGTATTTTCAGGTCAACGTTAGACAGGTACCTCGATCACT